GTCAAAATTACATGATGTATCAGAAGAATCTCGAAAATCGGAAGCTATCCTAGCGTGTTTGATCAAAACAGACAAAACTGAAAATGTTCCACTCATGAATTTGACAAAATTTAGTTCCTTGAAAAAACTTTATCGTGTGACTGCTTGGATTTTCAGATTTATATCAAATTTAAAAGTAAAAAGGGAAAATAGAAATTTTGCGGAAATTTCAGCAGAAGAAGAAATCAGTAAATCTGAAACCTTTTGGTTAAAACAAGCTCAAGAAGATAGTTTTCCTGAAGTTATAGAGTCTCTAAGAGAAAACAAGCATATTCCAAAAGATTCAAAATTGTTCGAATTAAATCCCATATTATCAGATGAAGGTCTACTTTTGGTACGAGGTCGGTTACAAAAGTCAAACCTACTATTTAACAACAAACATCCAATAGTAATCCCTTCAAAACATAAATTAAGTGAATTAGTAGTACGAGACGCTCATGAAAAGGTTTATCATGCGGGGTGTATCGGATCGGATACTCTAGTGCATATATACGTGAAAAATTCTGGCTCTTAAGAGGAAAACAATACGTCAAATCAATCCTGAGTAAATGCTTAATATGCAAAAAATATAATGTACGTCCTGGACAACAAATCACTGCACCTCTTCCAGCGGATAGAGTTAATGAATCTCCACCTTTCGCAATTTGTGGACTCGATTTTGCAGGTCCTTTGTATGTAAAAGAAAATGACAACAAATACTACATTTTATTGTTTACTTGCGCTACTACAAGAGCTATTCACCTTGAGCTCGTAAAAGGCATGAGCACTGAAGAATTTTTACTTGCGTTCCGCAGGTTCGTATCCCGAAGAGGTTTGTGTTCCACTGTGTACTCGGACAATGCTAGAACATTTAAAAGAGCCGAACTTGAATTAAAGCAAATGTGGAAAGTGATTAACCACCCTGAAGTTAAAAAAATTTTATGCTTCGCATGGAATCACATGGAAATACATTGTGGAACGTGCTGCCTGGTGGGGCGGTTTTTATGAACGTTTAGTTCGCAGTGTAAAAACTAGTTTAAGAAAGAAAGAACATTGGGAAATCATCTTTGACTCAAAGTGAATTAGAAACGCTTTTGCTTGAAATAGAAGCGATGATAAACTCGCGTCCATTAACATACGTCTTTTCTGATCTTGAAGAGCCCTCCGCACTTACTCCAGCCCACCTGTTGATTGGTAAACGACTCTTGAGTTTGCCAGCTGTAAGGAGGAATGACTTGAATTTACCAGGTTCCAGAGAAGTAATGTTAAAACGTTTCCGTACACGAGAAAATCTAATAAATCACTTTTGGAACAGATGGAAAAAAGAATATCTCCTGTGCTTGAGATCTGCTCATTATACCGGTCAGAAGAAACCATCTGCATTCAACGTAAATGATATAGTACTTGTTCATGATGAAAAATTTACCTAGAAGCTGGTGGAAATTAGGAAGAATAACCAAAAACCTTTATTGGTAGAGATGGAATGATCAGATCGTGTGAAGTGTGAAAACTGGTAATTCGGTAATCAAACGTCCAGTGCAGCTATTGTACAATTTAGAAATTGATGATATCAGTAATTGCAATAATCAGTGACTGGTTAAAAAAAAATTTGGACTGAATGACTGATAAACTGATGATAAAAAAAAATGTTCTTTTTCATAATGTTTTCATTTATTCATTATTATTTTCCTTGGTTTAATGATTTGTGGTGATCTTGAGAAATGTTAATTTAAATGTTTTGTTTTTTCTATAGTTTCAGAAAAAATTTTCTTGATGTTAAGAAATTATTGATATAATGTGACCTGTATATGTAAGTAATTTTTATTTGTTTCTTATTGTTATAGTAATATTGTAATAGTTAGTTAAATTTATGATGAACCTATTGTTCATCGGGGGGGGGAGTTTGTTGAAATTATTTCTTTTTCCCTCCGATGGATTCAGTTTTTCTTTTATTTTTATCGTCTGTCGCCGACTAGGTCACGTGACTGGCGGCAGAGAAGGAATGTAATACTCTTTTAGTTAGCTTGAGGGCGACGCCTTGAAATGATCTGATCTTGGCCGCATAGCGGTAATTGTTCTTGATAAACGAATATTGGCCCTATGATGGGAAAATTTATAATATATGTATGATTGTGCTTTCAATAATGTAAATAATGTACATAAGCTCTTCATTAATTGTTTTGTTTTTATATAAAAAAAAAAATAGAATCGTGAATTCGTGAGCATAAACGTGACAATTTTTATACAGTAAATGTATTTATTTACATTTGCCAGCCATCATAAAAAACAACGTTTTCAACCAAAAATTAATCCATTATTTTTAACGATATTTATTTTTGGTACTATTCGGTTTCGAGGGCCGTAAAAAATCGCCAAACTATTGTTGATGCCAATGCTGCCAAAAATAATTGCGGTAACCCTAACGTAAGAAAGGAAGTGTAATATAAAACATTTAATTTTCGAACTAATCTACAATATCATATATCTATAGAGAATACATTGTGATGTCAGAATTTTAGTCCCACTCATTTATGGACGTCACTTAGCTCCGCTCATGGACCTTATATGAGATAGACTAACCCAGTGGGCGGGGCCCGCCTCACAGACATGTCGGCAAGAAAGAGTAGGGACGATCTGGTTTACTTTAACACTGAAACCTATTTGCGTTTGTATCACATAACTCTTTTTAATTATTAATAAAAATCTTAAATAACTATTTAAGATTGTTATTTTAATCTAAATGAAAGGTTAATTTCATATAATACATTTTTATTATTATAATTTATATGAAAAGGCTAAACATGACTGAATGAAAGCTTAATAGTAAATAACTATTTCAGATCATTATTATAATTTATATAAAAATTGCAAAACATAACTGAATGGATGCCTGCATCGCTATTTCGCTACCGACGTATCGCTAAAGCATAATTCGATCTCGTTGCTTGTTCATACGTAATTTTCTGTAATGAATGATGCCTTTTCTTTTAAAATATTCTCGGTAAAGTGCAGAATCTCTCACTTATTTGTTTGCCGCTTTTTACAAGGGTGAAAACAATTGAATTTATGTCAATTTTATTTTACTTCTTAAGTGAAAATAGGTCGATGTGTACATAGATAAAGCCAAGGGCGTGCGCAGTGCCATTTTTGTGCAATTCTAGGATTTGTTTTAAAGTAAAAATAGGTCGATGTGCACATGGATACCGAGTATGTGCAATTCTTAAAAACGCATCAAGCAGTGGATGATTCTGCCTTTTACCCAAAATTCTATTGCAGACTACATTATGGGCAATTCCTAAATTGTTAAATCCATAGTATATTAAAAAAAAAAAGATTTAAAATCAAAAAAGGATTTAAAAATTAAACTAGTATTTCAATGGCGTGTTAAGAAATATAGAACTGTATAAACATACGCAATCTGAAATCAGCGCGTACTAAAGATTTGGCGCGCTGTTCAATGGGCGCGTTTGCTAGATTTGGCGCTTTTGCGCATACATTTTCGCAGCAATTTTTTTTACGGTCCTCAAAACGGAATAGTACCTTATTTTTTTTTTTATTATTATTATTTTTTTTAAGTTTCGAATACTTTACTATATGCGTAAAATACGTAAAAACAGCATTTTTCAAGATGGCTGACGGCTGTAAAAACCGCGCCAACAATTGCGCCAATGTAAATCGCCAAAAGTCCGTGCAACCGTCTACCAAAGTAGCACCATGACTCACTCAAGAAGGTGGGTTTATAAGCAAACAAATACTGATGGATTAGAATTTTGAAGATCTCCTAAATTCCAGTTCTTTTTAGCTTATTTTTAAACCTGATGACCCACCTACTTACATCCATTACTACGCTTCGGGTAGTTCACTAGACTGGTAGTTATGTGTGTGCTTCCCCTGAACGGGAAGTTCTGGAGGATCCAGGTTCAGAACACAGGTAAGTCATGGCCATTATTACCTCTCGCAACCCAGCAGGCTGATTTGAGCCAAGTTTAAAAAAATTCTGGAATTTTAAAAAAGCAAGTTAGGTCAATTTTGAAGAAATGACTGACAGAGAACTCGGGGAAGAGAATTTTCATCATTCATTTCCTCCGGAAAAACCAGTCAATAACTTAACAAAGGCAATTCTGTTTTGCGCTAAGGCATGCTTACCAAGTGGCAAAGTCAGATGCTATAAGTGCTGGGTCCCTTAAATTGGAGAATCATAGAGAGAAACGGGACCGACTCAGAAGAAAAGCTGAGCACACGAAAAGGCAGTTTGATGTTGCTGCATGACGAAAAGCTAGCTTGGTAAAAAAAGGGGAAAGTATAGAATCGCCCACTGCTTGGCGCGTTTTTCAAAATCGTCAACTTCGTACGCTCTCGCATCTTGTCTCTGGATTTGCAACCCCTCTAGAAGACACTACGCAAGGCGCGACATTTAAAAAGGCGAACAGTTAAAATAGATACAAAATAAAAGTTGAAGCAAAATTTTGAAAACTGAAAATCCTTTAAAAACAGCTTAATAATTTTTAAAAACAAACATGGTTAAGAAAACATAGTAAGCTTCAAAAACTTAAAATCGTTACAAAACACTTGTTATCAGCCGATAGATGGCATTGTAGAAAAGCCGCCGATAGAGGGCGCACGATATCAATCGAGAATCGGGAAGCGAGAGAATAGGATTGATGTTAAGAATGTTCCATAATGATATGTATATATGTATATAATTGTTGTAACAATAAAGCATTTATAAAATGCAAGAGTTATCCCGATTGAATGAAAAGTGAAAGCCCGACTTACCCCTAGCCGTCATGAGAGTGATAACGGAGATTAAAGTTCAAATTTCAGAAGTGGGATGATTGATGTAAGTACGGATTGAATGACTCGCGTACCAAGAACGTCGAAGAAGGGGTAAGTTTCGTTTTTAAAGATTTGAATGCATGCGAACTGTAGAATAATTCTAACAGAATTTAGAATTTAAGTATAGAATTATATTAGGTAATATTATGAACGAGAATACAAAGAAAGCTTTAGATAAAGCAAAAACGAAACGTAAAACGTTAAGAAGGTTAACAACACAAGTAATTAACAGAATATGTGAATTATTAGAACAGGATATTGTAGATACAAAATCATTAGAAAAATGTGATATGAATCTACAAGAAAAAGCAGATCAGATATTTAAGTTAGATCTAGAAATTGAGAATTTAATCCCTGAAGTATCTGATCTAGAAACAGAAGTCGAGAATAATCAGGAATACAGAGAACGTATAATCTACGCGAAATCGAAAGTTAAGAATTATCTTCAGAATTCAGATAGAAATAAGGGAGATTTTTCGTTGAAGAATAATTCTTCACTTATTTCGAATAGTGAACCAGATAAACCAAGAATAAATTTGCCGAAACTTCATGTAGAACCGTTTGAGGGTAATTTAGAGAAGTTTCAGGAATTTTGGTCACAGTTTGATAATGCGATTCACAGTAACGAACGCTTATCTAAAGTAGATAAATATAATTATCTTAAAGCTTTCTTGAAAGGACCAGCCTTAACTAGTATTCAAGGACTATTGGTATCGGAAAATAATTATGATTTAGCAGTTGAATTGCTTAAAGAAAGATACGAGAAAAAAGAAATTATTGTAAGATCTCATATTAACCATTTGTTAAATTTAAATGCAGTAAAATCGGATTCGTATTTGAAAGAATTAAGGGAGTTATACGATACGATAGAAATCCAAGTACGGGGTTTACAAACTCTTGGTGTCGAACTGAATTCATATGGAAGTTTGTTGTTTCCACTACTAACCAAACTTATTCCAGATTCCATTGTGCTAGATTTTTATAGACAGCATGAAAAAGACGATTGTTGGAATGTAACAGAATTATTAAAATTTCTTAGAAGAGAAACAGAAACGCGAGAACGAACATTTTTGTTTCGACAAACAAGGGAAAATAATGAATCAGTTAAAAGCGTAGACTATAAACTGTCAGTTAATAAATTTTCGGAAAAGGGGAATAGATTTCAGAAGTTTAAAGGGAAGCAGCAAGATTCGATTCCTAACGCAACCGCACTGAGCACATTTCAGAAAATTTGCATTCCTTTGCAATAATTCTGAGCACAGTTCCGAAAATTGTGATAAGGAACGCGAACAGAAATTAGAAAGTTTAAAAGATGTTTTCTATGCTTCCAAAAATTTCACGTGGTCCGCTTATGTAAATCAAAAGAGCGCTGCACGACATGTAAGCGTAAACATTCTAGCTTGATTTAAGACGCCAAATGCCTCCCGCGTCAGACAGAGAGTCGCGAAGAAATGAAGAATGACAAAAAATGAAAGATCAAAATAGTGTCGCGATGAATCATGATGGATTATCTGACGTTTCAAAGTATTTGAAGAAAGCAATAATTAACGAAAGTGAACCAATCGAATGTTTGATTGATACTGGAAGCGCTGTCATTCTATTAAGATTTTCCTTCTTCTCGAAATTACGATTACCAGTGCAACCGGAAACAAAAAAATTGTTTGGAATCGGGAGCGTAAATCACGCATCTACAACGACCTTCGGAAAAGTTCATGTTTCACTTCGAATTGGCGAAATCCAAACAACCGCGAATTTGTTTATCGTAAATGATGAGGTACAGCCGTATGACCTAATTATTGGTAGAGATATTTTAAACGATCAGATGTTGGCTTATGGGAAAATAGGGGATTCGTTTAATATATGGTATGCTAATAAAATTCCATTCGCGCAATTGATAAACGAAACGGAGCGTAAACACATTAAGTTATATTCTGAGAAACCAATAGAAATAAAAAGTAACACGATAAACTTTTGTGCATTCTGTAGCCCCAAATATAAACAATGGACTGATTTTATTTCAAAGCAAGCATGGAAGTCCGGATTCAGTAATGGAGGTTACAAATGGTAGGGTAACAGTCCCAGTTATGAACATAGGACACAATAACATCAGATTAAAAGAAAATCAGTGTATCAGCAGGTTAATAGATATAACAGAAGATTGGGAATTAAAGGAAGTAGACAAGCCCAATATAAACAAAGATGAAGAACAAAACCATGTATTTTCCATTTCTCAAAATATTCACCAAATAAAGATAGATGATATAAAATTTGATGAGGTAACTACAGATAATGAAAGAACTGATATCTTAAAATTAGTAAATGAATTTAGGGATTGCTTTGCTCTTAATTTAAATGAGTTAGGTTGCACGAACGTAATAAAAATGGACATCAAAGAAATTGACGGGAGTAGGCCTGTGTCTTCTCGCCCATACAAAACGAATGCAGCTGAACGTAATGCAATAAAAGAAATTGTTAAGGAATGGAAAGATAATGGGATAGTTTCCGAAACTAGATCGCCTTACGCTAGTCCAGTGTTACTAGTAAAGAAAAAAACAGGGGAATACAGACTAGTAATTGATTACCGCAGACTTAATACTCAGACGATAAAGGATAAGTTCCCTTTGCCTCGAATAGTTGATCTTTTAGAATGTTTAGGAGGATGCAAAATTTTCACTACTCTGGATTTAGCCCATAGCTATTTGCAGATACCCTTAAGTGAAGAAGCTAAATTGAAGACGGTGTTCATTACTCCAGATGAAATAGGACAGTTCGAAAGGATGACATTTGGGTTAGTAAATGCTCCTGCTGAGTTTCAGCGCCTAATGTCATATGTTCTAGGCCCCTTGTTGAATACTAAGGTGTTGTGTTATATGGATGATATACTTATTCCTGCAAAATCTTGGGAAGAGATGATTTTCAAATTAAAAGAGGTATTAGAATGCCTACGAAAAGCAAATTTAACCTTGAAATTATCTAAATGTGAATTTGGGAAAAGAGAAGTAGATTTCTTAGGTTTTATTATAAACGAAGACGGTATTAGACCGGGATCTAGAAAAATAAAAGCCATAACAGAATTTCCAGAACCAAAGAATGTGCACGAAGTGCGAAGATTTTTGGGCCTGACTGGATTTTTCAGACGATTTGTGCCGAAGTATGCGTTAAAGAGCGAACCATTGACCAGATTAACAAAGAAGAATCGAGACTTCGAGTGGAAGTAAGAACAAAAGAAGGCGTTCAAACTATTGAAGAAACAACTGACTGATAAGCTCATATTAGCTCACTATCAACCGCATGCAGATACTGAAGTCCATTGTGATGCAAGTGCAGAAGGTTTGAGTGGAATGCTAATGCCATGTGATGAATATCGAAAATGGCATCTAGTTTATTCAGTAAGAAAACAATAGAAGCAGAGAGAAAATATCATTCCAGCAAATTGGAGTTAATGGCCATCGTATGGACGTTGGACAGGTTAAGACAGTTCTTAATCGGCATAAGATTTACAATTATTACTGACTGTCAAGCTCTAATACATATGAATACGAAGAAGACTACAAATCCTCAAATAGCCCGTTGGGGTGTAGTTTGATTCAAGAATACGCTTTTGAGATAAAGCATAGGTCAGGAAAAAGACTGTCACATATTGATGCTTTGAGCAGAGGTCCTGTATCAGAAGCTGATGATACGATGACGAGAATAGCTGAAAATTTTGAAGTTTGCCAGTCCCTAACCGAAGAAGAGCAAATACTAATGATACAACATGCTGACCAAGACCTGAAAAGAATTATCGAAATTTTCAAGAAGAAACAAGAGGAACGAACTGCTGAGGAGAAAAAAATAATTATGAATTACGTGTTTAAGAAGAATAGACTGTTTTCGGAAAACCGTAGTGGATGGAAAGGAGAGACTACTCTATGTGATTCCAAAAAAGCATGAGGAAGAGTGTAGTGGTGAAATTCCATGATTTATTTGGTCACTTTTCTGTGGATAGAACAGTTTAGCAAAATTAAGGAATTATATTGGTTTTTCCAAGCATGAAACGATACGTACGAAGACACATATCAGCATGTATTGAGTGCCTTATGAATAAAGCGACAAGGTGGCAAGCAACAAGGACTGTTACATCCCATAAAACCTGGTAAAAGACCGTTTGCTATTGTTCACATGGATCACTTGGGTCCTTTCGTAAAGAGTTCGAGAGGTAATCAAGAACTATTAGTGATAATTGATAACATGACTAGGTTCGTGAGAATTTTTGCAGTTAAGAATACTAGTGCTAAAAATGTTTTACAGTCTTTGAAGAATTTTGTTAATGATTTTGGACTACCGGAAAGAATAATAAGTGATAGAGGATCTTGTTTTACTTCTCACCAATTTAAGCAGTATTGTACAGATAACGGAATACATCATACTTTGAATTCTACCAAACACCCCCAAGCCAATGGTATGGTAGAGCGCGTCAACAGAACAATTTTAGGAACGATAATGACAAATTTGATGGATAAACAACACAGAGATTGGGATTCAAAAATAAAAGAGACAGAAAGAAATCTTAACAACATGGTAAACAAAACTACGAATAAGACTCCATTTGAAATGCTACATGGGTATTCTCCCAGATTTAATGATGGAATACTTAGGAAATTAGCAGATGAAGATTCAGATGCATGGAAAGACCCGCGAGAAATCCAAGAGCAAGCGCGAGGAAGAATTGAGGAACAGCAAGTGAAAATGAAAAAGAGATTCGATGGGAAGAGGTGTCGTACACTAATATTTGAGCAAGGAGAAATAGTTGTGATGAGATGTGCTCCTAAGGCTACAGGTCAACCTACCAAAACACAGCCGAAATATCGAGGGCCATTTATAATAACGGAAATATTACCTAGCGATACCTACAGAATAACTCAACTAGAAGCGAAGAATCGAGGTCGCTACTTCACTACCACTGCTCATGTGAGCCAGCTGAAGCCATGGAGGTGCGATCCCAGCTCTGACGATGATGATGACGACGGCGACGATGAAGATACTGACCAGTTATCAAGCTTCCTCGACGGAATCCAATCAGATCTGTTCGTAAGGACTGATGGAAGTGCTCTACCCTGTGATTAAGGTGAGATCTTTCCTTTTTACGTGTGTGTGTGCTTATCTACGTATGTTTGTTGCTAGCAAACTTTAGAAACTTTGAACTTTTGAACATTAATTGACTTTGAACTTTTGAACATTAGCTGAAAGACTTTAGTGCATTTGTTTTGAATTATTTTAGGACTGAAAAAAAAATGAGTTATTTCATATATATAACGTATTTGTAATGATTTACAGAAAATTTTCGATTATTATGCTAATGTATAAAAATATGTGAATTTATGTATGTGAAAATATTTTAGTAACTTTGTTATCATATCAAATGTTAGTATAATGTGTATTCTTCTTAGTGTATTAGTAATATGTATGTTTAGTATTGTGTATAAGAGTCGAAATAGAAAATTGTATTAATTATAAAATTGATTTGTACTCCGAACAATCGGGACGATTGTCAGGTCAGAATGATCGAATGTTATCAGCCGATAGATGGCATTGTAGAAAAGCCGCCGATAGAGGGCGCACGATATCAATCGAGAATCGGGAAGCGAGAGAATAGGATTGATGTTAAGAATGTTCCGTAATGATATGTATATATGTATATAATTGTTGTAACAATAAAGCATTTGTAAAATGCAAGAGTTATCCCGATTGAATGAAAAGTGAAAGCCCGACTTACCCCTAGCCGTCCTGAGATTGATAACGGAGATTAAAGCTAACACACTGAAGAAGTAAAATACATTCACCTATAAAAAATTGGGGAAAGTGGCAGCATATCCCACTGCTGGACGCGTTTTTAAGAATTGCACAAACTCGGTATCCATGTACACATCGACCTATTTTCACTTAAAAAAATATCCCAGAATTGCCCAAAAATGGCATTGCGCACTCTCTTGACTTTACCCATGTACATATCGACCTATTTTCACTTAAAAGGTCAATGAAAATTGACAAAAATCCAATTCTTCTTCCTCTTGTAAAAAGCGCCAAACAAATAAGTGAGAAATTTTTAAAACTGAAAATCCTTTCAAAGAAACCTAATAACTTTAAAAACTTAAATCGTTTCAAAATATAGTATGTTTAAAGAACATAAAATCCTTACAAAACCTTGAAAAATTAATACTTTCACTTCCAAAAAATTTTAAAATATGAAAATCAGTCTTTACAAAAACAT